GGTTTAACGTTGAATATTATTTATGATTTTAGGTCTCTAAATGTTCACGTTGTTCCAGGTAGATCTCTAAATTTTCGTGTTGTTTCGTGTATTTCAATTTTATGTTGTTCCAGGTAGATCTCTAAATTTTCGTGTTGTTCCGGGTAATTCAATTTTATGTTGTTCTAAGTAGATCTCTAAATTTTCATGTTGTTCCGGGTAATTCAATTTTATGTTGTTCCGTGATTTCAATTTTATGTTGTTCTAAGTAGATCTCTAAATTTTATGTTGTTCTAAGTAGATCTCTAAATTTTCATGTTGTTCCGGGTAATTAAATTTTATGTTGTTCCAAGTAGATCTCTAAATGTTCATGTTGTTCCGGGTAATTCAATTTTATGTTGTTATTTCTCACTTTTTTTACACCTCTGTTCAAACAGATGCAACTTCATAAGTGTAACACATCAGAATAATTACAAAATGTTATAAGTATTACAAGATTTGAATGAATCACTAGGTTTGTGCAATAACTAGATTTGTTTTTGTACTTATGGGGGTAGGATTGTCTATATATTATGTTTTAGTAGAGAAAAATACTTGTTTTTGCATGAACATCAAACATATCTCAAATGATATGTTTTATTTCGCAGTTTCATATACCGTGTATCGGTTGTTGACTTAAGATGGGGTTTGTTTGTTTGTTGCATTTCGCGCCTAGCAGCTATAAACGTACCTAGTTACACACTATAAATATGTTAATAAAACACGATAAACATGGTTAGTTAAACATGATAAATATATTAGTAAAACCCAATAAGCATGTTAATAAAACATGAAAAACAAGACTAGTTCAACACCATAAACATGTGAATAAAACACGATGAACATGGTTAGTTAAACAAGATAACCATATAGGTAAAACACCGTAAACATGCTAGTTAAACAGGATAAGCATTTCTAGTTAAATACGTTTAGTAAAATCCTACGAATCATTGAGGATATTTTTGTTTACATTTCGTAATGTCTTGTGATTGGCTGATGATGACGTATTTCAGTTAATATTTTTTACA